GAAAAGAAAAGAAAAGAAATTGGCTTTTGTACGGGAAAGTATGACGGTTGTATGGAATTGCGATGCCTTCCAAGTAACCTGAATAACAAAGAAAAATAAGAAATTAAAGAAAATGACTGTAAAGAAATTTCATGAAGACGACCACAATTTGGACAAGAAGGCAGAAGCTGCATCAAGAACTTAACCATCTTTGATATTTTTTTTAGAGAAAGTAAATTGAAGACTTTTCATATATTGAATACATTAAAAAGGACGTTTCAAGTGTAGATGAATTTGACTTCAATCAGTGATGCGCTTTCGGTAGGCATATATGTACTGCACTACTCCTCCCACCCCCACCCCCCCAAGGGCCTTTTTGGCAGCCTCTTTTTGTCCGTTGAATGTTATTCTACTCTACAGTAACCTTCTGCTGTCTATTGCAGGTCACGAACTGCTGTGGCTCCATTGGAACGATTAAAAATATTGCTACAGGTTACATACTTTTTCTTGATGGATACTACATAGAGTACTCAGAATCAAGATTCCATTTGTTGTATTGGTATTCAGTAGATTCTGAATGATGTAAAGCATTTCAAAATCAATTTTTTGTTAGGGTCTTCTTCTTTTAAACCACTTTCCTTTTTGCATCACGCTGTTGTGGTTTCTTTTTGTAATGTTGCTCAAGGAAATATTGTGGAAATGCTATTTACTTGTTCTCCTTGCATCATGACGCTTTTTCAACATGCAGGTCCAAAATCCACATAACATAAAATACAGTGGTACTGTTCAAGGCTTAAAGTATATCTGGAGAACTGAGGGCTTTAGGGGCTTATTCAAAGGCAATGGCACCAATTGTGCTCGAATTGTCCCAAATTCAGCAGTCAAGTTCTTCAGCTATGAGCAAGCCTCCAAGTATGTCTCTATATAAAAAATTACAGAATTTGCTCAAGTTTGTAAGCATTGTTGTTTTAATTTTCAGTTTGAATTTATCTTATTGACGTGCTTCCACCAAACAAATATTTTTATGATGCTAATGCTATCATTTTGGCAGTTTTTCTTTTGTTTACATATCCTTGCACATAAATGGAAAATATTTTTCCAGTTACCTTTTGACCACCATTTCAAAGGGAGGAGAAAACTTGCTCAGGCTTACTATTACCACAGAGAATAGGAGTAAAATACTCTTTTGGAAGGAAGAACTTTGCAATATAATCCAATTCCAAAAAAATAACAGAGAACCAAATATTCTGGTAAATGTAAAAGCATGTATATGAAAATTGGAGGTTTAGTGTTGACGTTTAACTCGTCTTAATTTAAAACTGCTAGAATTGAACTTTTTGGTAAGATGTGGATCACGTGTTTCCTTCGATAACTGAGTGGAATTAGCCATGAGATTGAGATGAGTTTTGAGGGAAAGCCAGTTTCTCAAAAGAAAATCCGCTTTGTTTTAGACTGGAGACCTGCCAAAAAATCGCACTTGTTTTAGGTGTAAAAGTTGGAACAAAATTCAGATTATTTTCTCGCAATAATGATTAGTTTCAGGTTTGGAAATTATCCAAGTATAAATAAGATCTGTACATTATTGATTTGATGTATTCAATGATAGTAAAGTTCCTCTCTTAATTTTTCTCCTAATTCTCCTCTCATTTTCTCAATTTCCCATTTTACATCATTTGATATCAGAGCCTACTCTTGATGACCTTCAAATTTATAGATAAGACGCTTGACTGTTGCACCTACTTCATGTTATATAGTCATTATAAATCTTATAAACATCATTTTCACTTTCAATTAAATAACGAGAGAGTGAAAATATTTTACTTGTGAGATTATGATATTAGCTTTTTCGTTAGTAATGTTGATTCTTTGGTGAATGATCGCCTAGTGGAAGAATTTTACCTATTTATTTTTTGTTTGTTTAACCAATCTGGTTCAATATAATATATTAAGCATGCCATTTAAGGGATTTGGTTAGATAAATCGTAGTCGGCATTGAGTAGATTTTGGCACCTATTTATCACAAATTATCTTTCCTTTGATGTATTTTATCATCTGAATGTATCATTTTGTGTTGCAACAGGGGTATATTATATCTGTACCAGGTGCAAACTAACAATGGTACGTCTTTGTTAGTATATGTACCCAATAAAAGTTGGCTTTTCAGTTACCCTTGTCTTAGCAAAGATTCCTTTCTGTACATGTTGGACATCTGTGGGTAAAATTACATTTTCAATTTTACTTTCTATGATGGCAGCACCCTTTCTCCAGTTTATGATCTATGATCATGTGCTTTCCGTGTAACTATTATCATACTCCGATTTAAGTTGAAGGAGAAGTCATAATTTTTTGTCATTTTCTTGCATA